ACATCCGTCAATTGATTTCGGTAATTGACCTTCATCGCATTACCTTTGAACACTCTGATCATCTCGAATAGCTCGATAAAATGCCGTACAAGGTTGATCTTTTCTGTTGCTTGTTAAAGCTGTGCATGTGTATTTCTTGATACTTTAAGCACAAGTTATCCGAGCTAGAGTCTTTGAAATGTTATCTTGAGTCAATATATAATCTCTTGGTGATGATTTGTTAAAAATTCGAGGATTCATTGGCAGTTATAACTCCAACTATTAAAGATTTCAGTTTTCTGCCAGTATTTATGGAATTCCTGTGGAGGAATGTGCTAGCTTCTAGTGAACAATTTAAGTTTTTGTAGTTAAATGACCCCACAAAATCCACCCTAAGATATGAAACTCGGCAGCGTAATAAATCTTTTAACGTTTTTTAGCATTCAAGATCGCCATCTGCATGTGCTTGACCCACGATAGTCATGCATTGTTGTATTTTAGGTATTAAATTACGCTCTCAAATTTTTTGGATGTGAATCTCAGTTCTCGATCACCTATGGCCACAGTCGGCACTCCATTGCGTTTGCATATTTAATTCTCGATGCTTAACACTGGTAACCCTGTAATGCAGTCCATGAAAATCGTGAGCCGGCAATGTTTTGGCCTAGCAGCAATCGGTATCATCTTTTCGTAAGCTTTCATACTGAATGTCGTGGTATCGACTGCAAGTCTCGCTCGTCGCCATGTATTGTTTTGTATCCTCGTCTATGTCATTCTGAAATTAACATTATAAGATACTGAGTTGTGTTCGTCTTGTACCCGGATGCTGCAATTCTCGAATCATGCGTATGCGAGATAATTCCTCCTCTGAGGTTTGGACTGTTCAGTACACCCCGCCTTCGCACCTTGTTGTTTGTCGATATTGATAGTAAGTCTATATTTGGATTTGAACGTCTGTCAGCTTTTGAAGTCTTGCAAACATCCGTTATGTCTTGTCACCACGGGGATACATTTCCTCATCTGTAAATCCACCTCCACTGTTCTGCACAGCGTTGATACACCTTCATGTAATGGATAAGTGTATAGGGCCTTGATGCTGCATATTTCCATAGGGTACCTCAAGCTATAAGCTCAACTACAAGAAATGAAGAAACTCCTAGTAAAACTGGTGTTCGTGGGGCTTGCACATGTGGTGTGCAGTTTCTATGGGCGATGTTTCTGATCACGTGACGTTAAGGGGTCCACACAGAAAACTTTGTATCTGAATGCATATCCTCCCCAGGAAGAGAATGTCGAGCACTATTTCCATGTCTCACTAAGGTAGCCATGCCATGGCTGGGTTATCTACGTGATCTCACTGACAATGTTCGTATGACTGCAAGCAGTGATTCTACAATCATGCAGTGTGAATATAGTACATGTTGTCAACATCCATCCTATTACTTTTATGTGACGGTGGATTGTGGGTATGTAAGCTTCTCTGCGCTCTTAGTCGACCCCGATCTCGAGTTCTTCTTTGCTTTTCAAGCCCCACAAAGAGCTATGCGCTCTTGCAGCTTTTATGCTTTTTGGAAAGCCTCTATTACAGTATCGCATATCTGGGAGTGTACTTCTTCCAGCATATGTACTCTTAATTCTCGGTGATGTATCGTAATCTTGTCACGCTCATCCATGTCTGCAATTTGTGCATAAATATTTCAGCAAACCTTTGCTGTTCTTCTGTTGTAATCGAGCCTGCCATTTTGCGGATCAAATTGTTGTCTAATCTCGTTTAAAACTCCACAAAAGATTTAGGCAACGCCCACCATGCGGCTGCAACTTATCTAATTTGGTAATTATTACTGCCAATCACCTCTACTCTGTGTCTTTACTCGCATTGCAATCAATATTCTTTGCGCTGATTAGAGCTTCGACTTGATGGATACACTCTAAATCTCTTTCATCCTTCCAGTATGTTTGGCGTCGTAAGTCTTTCTATTTTCTTCTCGGTTCTTCCTCCTGATCTGCGGTCGGCTAGATCACCGCCAAGTCGCTTATGTGGGCCCATATCAGAGATTGGACATTCGTTGCTGCTGCACCAATGGTTAGGCCAACGTCAAAAATGATGGTTCCATCTTGTAAGTACAAAAGTACTACCAAACGTCAATATATATTCCAAACTGAATAGCTTCGGTTCTCTGTGATTTAGTAAAATGGCCCTCACAAACCCGTCATGCAAGACGTGTGCGATTAAAAACTTCGAAGTGCAAGATTTTAGATCGCAATGAGCGAAGGAGATAAGGGACAACAGCTGAAAGAAGTAATATAACAGCTTCTTTAGCTTAGACGGACAAGTGCAACTAAATGTAATAGGACCGACTGCCTATTACTTACTTGCAGGGTAGCTGGCAAAACGATCAGTGTATCAATGCTTGCAAAGGCAACTACATAAAAATTATATCATCTCTATTGTTCTACTTTATAACTCCCTTTATTATCATTCAATCAGATTACGAGCATCATTTCACAGACGTTCTAGCGTATATTCTGTTTCATGCAGTTCCGCATGCTGTAAAAAAATGCTTAATGTGACGATCTATTTTGATGTCTATCTTCGGGCTACCTATACACTCTTAGCAAGGCCCTGCCGAGTTGATACCGAAAAGAAAGCTCAACGGCGGTCCAAGAGTCGAAAGTGTGAGAATATGCATAAATTCAAGATATCATTCGTTATAGGCACGATAGACTGCTGAGGGTGCCTTTACAAGGGGGTGTCAAAGCCGACGGAACACAGCTAGGCTGAGGAAAAGAGAAAAATAATTTGTTAACTAACAATCAGCTCTGAGAAACCCGCATATTATTTTTCTACCGCTGAACAAAACATCCACGCATCGTGTGCCGTCTTCGCTCTTGTCTGCAAGATGCAAAGGATCGGACTTGTACAACGAATGTCTTGCGGGAAAATCTTGAAACCCGGTTAGCACAAGGCGGTCTACTACTAGGTAACTGTGCTCTATTATTTCTTGTGGAGTTCACAGTCAATGGTTCAGAGAGCGGCTCTCTAATCGGGGTGGAGCTCACAGCACAGGTTTGCTGGCTGCTGAAACTACAACCCCACGATTATTGAAGATGTGAAACGATCGGGTATTTTCAGGAGCTTCGTGCGACTGCGTACAACGCGCTACTGTCAATAACAGTAGAGAGTACGTGGAGGCGTTGATGGTACCATATATGAATACGATATACGTGTGTTCTACGTTGGAAACACTTTAGAACGAGTCTAGGGTTATGCTGAATCTTTATGTGAGCTTTGTGACTTTGACAGCGTGGAGTGGTGCTTAGTCCTTCGATTTATGATAAAACGTATGGTGTGACTAGAGTGCGAGTCGCTATGATCCGCGCGACCCCATGAAGTGAAATCGTTAGGAACCACGCGCTATTTTTCTTTTAATTTCTAGGCAAGTCATGAATCCAAATCAGCACAGAAATGAAGACGCTTTGGTGCGTGCGCACAGCTGCAATTGCTTCTGTGTAGGACGTGGAGTTGTTTAAACCTGATCACAATTGCAATATTAGGTGCCTCGAGCAGATCTGGGGAGGCAAAAAGTGACAATGAATCGCGGTGTCATGGTTGGACAGAGAAAGCGACTTGATATTGCTGTCTCCAAATTGAAATTTTGTCGAGACGGAAAGAACGATTGTATGTCGTGAGCGTCAGATTCTACCTTTTGTAGATTAATAAGACTGTAGCTGCGAGTTGTAGACTTCTATGCCTGGGCTGGTGAAGAATGAAAGCAACTTGTGTTGACATCTCGCATGCCAAGCAATTGAAGTTGAAGAGCAGCTTTGCATTGTATGTAGAAAGGCGAGGATTTAACAATCAAAAGAATACTTCATCTTTAAAATGATGCGACAATTTTGCTGAGCCATTACATCCGTGTGACGTGCCCACCGTGCGAAGTGATGACGCTCTATGAGCAGGTGGCGAACGCTTACATACTTATAAAATTAAGAGCAGGGATAGTCGTAGTGGCTGTAAATCTTTCATCACTGCCTATAGCCGAAGCTTTTATTAAGTTATAGGGATTACACCTCAAAAATGACATTGGGTAAAGACTGGGACGGCTATCCTCGAGCTTGTCATATCGCGACTGGTGACTAGAATTCCATCTCGGGTACTAGCCCCGGACTGAGAGGTGCGTAATACAGTTGATTTGTTTAAAACCAGACATTGTGCCACATAACAATGGCTCTTACTCATAGTAGTTCCTTAAGTAAAGCACCATGCAAATTTGATGAGTGAGAAAAAAATCACACTTGGCGCCCGCAACTCTTGCTCCAATACAGCATGGTCGGCTGCAATGTGCCTAGTGCCTTTAAACTAGTCGATTGGAAAGACGGGCACATCACACACACGGCAGTACGTATTCCAAGCGAGGCGCATTGGCAGTGGCTGTATATGCCACAGAGACTGGCTAATGCACGAATGACGTTCAATCGTCTGGTGAATCAGCTCTTCAATCGTCAACGCGGCTACACAAACTCTACTTTGATGAAGTATCCGTCGGTTGTTATGCCGAGCACAGGGAGCCGGATGCAGAGAGCCGCATTACACAGCTCGAGTGATGCTATATCATATGTATTTGGATACTTATCCGCGAATATAGATAAGTGTGTCTTTGGCGCCGACCATACCTCAAAACATTTTTCAGGGTTGCCTCGTTTAACAGCGGGGCCTCCAGGCAGATCGCGCGATTCACGATACCCTTGTATTGTCTCAAACAGTGGTCTGTTTAAGCAGTTGGACAAGTAACGTGTACACTATGCCAACACGGAGCGACCCGTCATCAATCTCGATGAAATGAATGTCAACTGGTGTTGGTGTGGCAAAAAGGGGGACCTTCAAAACTGTCGAAAAAAATATTGCGCATTTTTCCGATTCTGGTGTCTTAAAACCATATTGGCCATTCCATGTCATCTGTGGTGCTTCAGCCTTTGCAATAAAAAGAAGGAGTTTTCTGAAAGAAGTATCTCCTCGTCTGGTTCAGATAGTACCTAACTGGCTCCAATCCTCTTGTGGTCTACAAACATCATATGATGTTTTGCACAGCAAACGCGTCACAACATCTCTCACAGAAAATGGCAAGATGGTAACCCTTCTTTGCTGAGTTTTCTTCTCAGATAAAGCCTTAGTCGAGTTGGCTTAATGTCGTGTTGAATACGCTATTTCGTCGCCTCAAATATGATTGCCGCCTGTCACAATGGTGACATCGCCAGTTGATGAGGTGATAAGCGCATCGAACAGATAATTGGCAACGTGAAAGGCTGCTCAACGTGTGAAAGTCATATGTCACTCTTGTTAAGCGAGCGGTTGCGCACCTGCGACGCTATGGCTTGTCCCAAGACTTGCTACTGACTTAAACGAAACTCAGTTTTGTGGTATCTTGTGCGAAGGACCTCAACGACAAATTCTGGACAAGGCTCACAATCCCCATTTAGGCGGATAGTTAGGTAGTAAAAAGACACAGTGCTCGGTGAGCGCTACATATTGGTGGCTGAGTATGTTCAATCGGTATTCACAAAGAGCGCATGTGGGAAATGTGTCAACAAATAAAACCCTCACCAGATGTGGTTGCAAGATTTGCCAGCTTGAGGGTCCCAGAAGAGTGATAGCAGTCCACAAGTATGGACTTATTGTTTCGGTCGTCCAAAAGACGCGTCCACTACTACCAGTATTGTGGTCTTTCAGGGTTGTCTGAGCAAGATGAGTCCTCTCGCTGATGTCCATGATAGTGTGACAGGTGGGGATAAAGCCAAGCTCTTCCTTCAAAACGTGCTTCGCCATCATGGGTATCTGTTACAGATTCGCGCTTAACAAAAGTCTTTATAGAAAATGTATAAGGTGCTCCGTACAAGATTGCATTTTTAAACCGCTGACCATTCGTAAACAGATGGTAAGAGAATACTTACTAATTGCGCTGCAAAGAATATCCTTTAACGCACTTGCCCGAAGGGAACCCGGTTTAGTGCGAGTTGCTTTCACTCGCAAAATTTGCGTTGAAAAAAGTAGATCATCACTCTCCAAGCTTTAGCCTTCTTTATATATACGGTGTGTTGAGTCCTCGGGTGCATTTGGCACTGCCACAAAGTAGCCATGTTCTCTATGAGGGCAGAGTTGTCCATCATAATTAATTTGGTGATATACACTTCAAAGCAAAATCATTCATTTCTATCGTAGTTAGACTTGTTGTCATGTTTAGAGTGCATGATGCTATGGCTGAGAGTTACGACAAACAGAAGTAACCTGACGATACTAAAGTCGGGCAGAACACACGCAAAATCGTCGTATGCAAAAAGTGAAATTGAATACAATTTATGTACGTGCACATGTTTTTCAGTGGTCTATAAGACTTAGTCGTGTCCGCGCTTCATTGAACTGTTTGTGGTCCTTACAAAGAAGAGATTGATTTATGCTTTCTATATCCCAACGAGAATGCAAACACATCTAATGTACTTGCTAAATTCACACCACGACCCCGCTCTTAAGAGTCAAGGAGATCTCAGCCGCAGATGGAGCAGCATCTACACCATCTCCTGTAGCTATGCTACTCTCTGCTACAAAGGAGCGACGCAATTCTGAATCACTCGGTGTGCCTCGAGCCAGACAAGCCCGACAATACATTGACAAAGTTTAAAAATAAATCTAAGATCTGGCTCATCTCAGTCTTAGACGTAAGCCGTAACTTTCGGACTGAGTCGAACTCCGTTGGTACCGCTTGATGATCAAGGAAGGGTTTGCTTAAGTGGAGCGTTCGTTGGAGCGGCAGGTACGCTATGCCTTATCTAGTACCTGGTAGTAGAAGGGTTATCCTTAGGAAAAATCGGTGTGAGTTTTTGCCTCCACTCCGCCAAAATTGCCCTGGTGCCATGGTCGCTTACGACCTGGTGCAACTCCGCTTTTTATTTGCTTGAGATTAGGCAGGGTCGTTTATCTCAGCGCCCAGTCTACAGTTAAGGCCGACCGACATTGTGGTGAAAAAGCACTCTGATCGGTAGCTACTACAGCCGTCTCATGGGACCATGCATGCTGTTAGCAGCAACAACTTGACGTAATGGATAGTGACCTTGACTGCCGCGTCTTGCATCGCAATTTACAAAGTCAGGCATGCAACGACGCTCTAGCCGGACGTTTGCATTGCTGAAGCAGATTTTGAAAACACAAGTGAGGCAACATGAGTTCTTCGCCGGGTAGGAAGCTACCTAAACGCTGCTGCTCCAAACGTAGATGATACTTCTAGGACTTACTGCCTCGCGGGGCGTTTTTCTTGCACTCGCTTTGCCCCGGGTGCAAGCAGAAGGCCCACGTCTATAGGCATATATGGGCTTTGCACCAGCGTGACGAGTGACTTTAGACGACGAAAATGGTATTTTACCGAATTCGGCAAGACTCATCGTGATTCTTGAGCGTGCAGTAGAGCAAGCTGGGCCTTTAGCTCGCTGAGAACAAGCTGGACATCGTGATGGGTGCCAAAACACTTTTCGCCGATGGGAATGGACACCAAGTCCGAGATATATGCAGATGGAAGACTGAGGTAGCGAGTGCCTCCTCCTTGGGGAGCCGCTAGTCCATGTGCCGCCAGGTGATGGTGAAGGTGTTTGGTCGGGACTTGGAGGGTCACTGGATATTCTTATTGGAAAGCGCCTTGGCACACTCACCTTAAACTTCTTTAAGTGTTTCGATTGCGTAGAGAGTGCCTTTAGTAGGGTTCGTTGATTTATTCTGGTGTATGAAGGCAAAACTCGGATGCAAGTATGCTCAGAAATCAGACATTGTAAAGTGCAGAGAGTGGAATGGAACTTCAGGCGCAGGGATTGCTCCTGGAGCGGTCACTATTGCGCAGTTTTGTTGAGACAAACTAAGTGTGAATACCATCCTTAGTGGGAGGGTATAACGGGGCAAAAATTGTACGTTTATTCCCTTAGGTTGATACATTTGGGACAAGTGTATTGATTCAGTACGGTACAATTGTCATTACAAGAAAAGAGAAGAAAAGGGAAGATTCAAACGCGATGTAACTGTCCATATTAATTAGTATCGGAATATCGGTGTTGATGGAGCTTTGCCTAGCCGCACGGCAGATATCTATATTATATCAAATGAGAGCAAAACAAATAAATTGGCAATCAGTACAACCAGCAGTAGATTAGCAAAAACGGCAAAGCTACCAGACACCGAATTACCTTCTAGGCTCTCGGTTACGCTCCTGGCAGGATCGTACGAACCCAACCTCTGTGCATTTGCTAACGTGGACTCTAGGAGTCAAAGGATTTTGTATGCAAAGTATATGGCAACCCGTTGCACTCACTTTTACTACTGTAGTAAATGATGCTCTTATCGGTCGTAAGAAATGCGTCTTCGCCCAAGCCATTCAAAAAGTTGGTAAAACGGGATGTCGTGCACGCTGCATAGCGTAGCCTTCACCTCGGAGGATCTGAGTTTACAAACTCGCAGATGTTGGATTCGTATGCTCCAACCAGAAGCGGAATCGAGAACCTCCAACGTAACTAAGTTACAAGTCAAGAGTGACATTTATTCGATACATGATGTGTCCGTTCTAAAGTATATGCTATGAAATATGTTTTCATATGCTGGAAGTGTACGAATCCAAGGATACTTATCTCGCGTAGAAATCGTCGCAGTGTATCTCAACTTTAAATCGCTGCGAAAAATAATCCATCAAATGGAAACTTTCGAAGCATTGTCATACCATGAATTTGTGTGGATGTCCTTAAAAGCTTAGCTTTTACTGCTTGACTAACATAATTAGTCGCGGAAAAATGAGGGTATCGACTATTTCTACACCATGTATAAACTACTCGCTTATTAATACATTACGTCAAACTTATTCGCACTTCATCTGGCATCAACGAAATAAGGCTCATGCATCAGCAGAATTTTTAATGGAGATTTCGCGACTTTTCTCTAAAAGGAAGGATTCATTACGGTGTAGAACAATCAAAACAGAAGTCTGCTCTGAATGACGTTCGTACTTGGGTTTGAGATCTAAAACCCTAGTTAATAGTGCTCAGCTTTCCACACCACACATTCACTTCATCATTAGCAAATCTCGCAACGGTGGCCGCACTGCTGAGAGTTGTTGAGTAAATGTAAATCTCACATGTTTCCCAAATATTGTTGGCCGAAGCTTTGAAACTTTCTGCTGTTGTCTTGTGCTTTATGCCGGGATCGATAGACTCCTCGATAATTATCTTATACCTTATTACTCATGTCAAACAACCTGTCACCCGTTTTGCCTTTGTCAATTCAACAATAGCACGTTATACTTTTACAAAAATGAAATGTCTAGTTAGTAGCACGTTAGCTAATTAACAAGAGAACGAGCTTGCATGAACGTAATGAGGTTTTCGCATTCAAGTACAAATTCAATCACAAAGGCATTGTATTGATTGATGTAAACACAGACAGTTATGATAACTATCGATTAAAGCAGACAAATGGACCCGCGTGGCATTGATAGCTTCTGACTCACAACAAACGCTTAAATTCAGAGATTGCACGTTCAATGCCGGCAACTTCCGTTTCTAAAGCGACCTTTTTCACACCATCAGCGTTTTGCACGTCCTCGGGTACCTTAATCTTATAGTCGTCACGGCTCATTTTCTTGCTCAAACTATCAAGTGATGGCGCAATCTTTGCCAGCTTTTTGCTTAGCTTTGTGATCTCGTTGGCGAAGTCCACTAACCCGGCAAGCAGCACGAAAATTTGCACTTTATCATTGACACTATGCATCGCACAGCCCTGAGGCGCTTCTTCATCCACAATACACTTCGATTCCCCTGCCTTGGCAAGCGTGTTAAAATCGTCCAGCTGCGATTCTATCACGGCACTGATATCTTTGTCACTACACTTGATGAAAAACGTTGGACGCACACTGTTTGTCAGTCCGTACTCAGCCCGTACGGAGCGAGCAGCATGAATCACTTCCTTCACCAATTCCATGTTCGCTTCAACCTCAGTGTTCGTCCATGTTGCCATTACTAGCGGATAGGGAGCAATTGTGATACTCGCGGTCGAGCGCTTGCCCGGCAACCGCTGCCACAGCTCTTCTGTCACGAACGGCATACTCGGATGCAGAAGACGCAGTCCAAACTCTAGACACACATACAGAGTCTGCTGCGCTGTCAATTTAGACTCAGCATCCTCACCGCCCATCACGGGTTTGGTCAGCTCCAAATACACATCACAGAGATCATAAAGCCAGAAGTTGTACAGCGCGTTCGTCAGCTCTCCAAACTCATAGGCAGCAAACGAATCATTGCACACTTTAATCGCGTGATTCAAGCGGCTCAATATGTAGCGGTCTCGAGTATTTACAACAGCGTTTTCCAGCACAAGCTCAGCTACGTTTTCAGCAGCTGAAAAGCCACCTTCGAGATTAGACATTGCAAAACGCACAGCATTCCATAATTTGTTACAAAAGTTGCGATAGCCGACAAGGCGTCCAATGTCCAGATTTATGTCGCGCCCTTGTTGCGTGTAAGCCAATAGACCAAAACGAAGAGCGTCAGCGCCACACTCAGGAATACCTTGTGGGAAATCTGCCGTCTGACTTTTTTTGGCTTTCTCCACCTCCTTAGCAGGTAGATTGCCGCTTTCCAGCTTTTTGAGCAAATCATCCAGTGAACAACCGGCAATGATCTCCAAAGGATCCACCACATTACCCAAACTCTTGGACATCTTGCGACCGTACTTGTCGCGCACCATTGAGTGCAGATAAATAGTCTTAAATGGCAGTTTTCCCGTTAGCTTTTGACCCAAAAACACCATCCGCGCAACCCAGAAGAACAAAATGTCGTAGCCCGTCTCAAGTAGATCTGTTGGATAAAAGTTTCTAAAGTCCGACGTTTTGTTCGGCCAACCAAAGACAGCAAAGGGAAACAAGCCAGCGCTCACCCACGTGTCCAGCACATCTTCGTCTTGCTCCAGCTCAATCTTGTCTTCGGAAACGCCAAGTTTCGTCGCCGCCTTTTTCCGCGTAGTTTCCTCCGAAATTCCAGCAAACCAGCGATCGCTCGCATCTTCTGCATTTTTGTCGACAAATGCTTCGTCTTTAATGCGAGCAAAGTAAGCTGGAATTCGGTGACCCCACCACAGTTGGCGTGAGATGCACCAATCACGAATGTTTTCTAACCAGCGAAACCAAGTTTTCTCATGACTTTCAGGCAAGATCGTGAGTTCTTTGTTTGTGACAGCAGCCATAGCATCCTTGGCCATCTGATCGCAGTTGATAAACCATTGTGGCTTCACAAGTGGTTCAATTATATCACCTGAGCGCGAGCAAATACCTAGCCGCATTTTGTTATCTTGTTTGCCATGATACAATCCCTTAGCTTCAAGCGCCTTTTCGACCGCAATACGCGCATCGTACCGCATCATACCCGCGAATTCACCGCCATTTTCATTAATTGCTCCGTCATCCGTCAATATATTGATAAATTCAAGTTTGTTTCGCTTTCCACATTCATAATCATTCGGATCATGAGCGGGTGTGATTTTCACGGCTCCTGTACCAAAACTCATATCCACAAGTACAGGGTCTAGCACAATTGGAATTCGGCGGCCATTAAACGGGTGGACCACATATTTACCATGCAAATGCTTGTAGCGCTTGTCTTCTGGATGAACTGCCACACCAGTATCGCCCAACATAGTCTCCAAACGAGTAGTAGCAACAATTATCTGTTCATCAGTTCCTTCAACTGTGTACCCAAATGATGTGAGTACACCAAATTCGTATTTGCGTTCTGGATTGTGACCTGGAACCATCATTTTTGTACGCTTTTCGATATCAATGTAATCCACCTCAATTTCGGACAATGCTGTCTTTAATTTGCAACTCCAATTAATCATACGAGTAGCTCGGTAAATGAGACCTTCCTCCCATAGTTGACAAAAGGCGTGAGATACTGCGCGAGCACAATTTTCATCCATGGAGAAATATTTGCGATTCCAGTCTACTGAGCATCCAACACTACGAAATTGGTGATGAATGCGGCTTTCGTACTGATTTTTCCAGTCCCAAACACGTTCTAAAAATTGCTCGCGACCAAGATCATGGCGACTTTTTCCTTCTTCTTTCAGCAAACGTTTTTCAACAACAGACTGTGTTGCGATCCCTGCGTGGTCGGTACCTGGGACCCATAACGTAGCGTGGCCTAGCATTCGGTGCCAGCGCGTAAGGGCATCCTGAATAGCCACAGTCAGTGCGTGTCCAAGATGCAAGGATCCTGTGACATTTGGCGGTGGAATGACCATGACAAAGCGCTCATCAGGCTTGGCATGCGAAATTTTGTCATCTGAGCATGAAAAGAAGCCTGCAGCCTCCCACCAGTCCTGCCACGCGGCTTCGACAGCGACAGGATTATAGGCGGTAAGCATTGGCTCAGTCAAGTCTTTCTTATCACCCTTTGGCGTATTGTTGACGAAGACGGGGGCGCTCGGAGTCTCTTTCTCATCTTTCTTTTTTTTTTGTCGGTCTTAGGAGCCCAGCGGTTCGGATCTTTCTCCTTCTTAACACTTTTTTCGGCGCGTTGTGCCTTCTTCATGGCATTCTTGCTCAATTTGGCAGGAGAGGAAGTAGCGGCAGCTGCGTCTGGAGTCAGGACAGGATCCGCCATTGTGCTGAGGAGCTTGATAAGACCAGAAATGGCTGGAATAGATGCGGTTGATATTTAGATATTTAATTGTCAAATTTGTCAGAAATTTAAATATTGGTTCCGAAATTATCATGTGAATGATAGAGAATTCCAAGACATGATGAAATTCTCTAATTGAGAACTTACGAGTGACGTAAATTTGATGTAATACGACTAATTAATGCTAAATATTAGCGAACTTCTTGACAAATTATTTAGCAGTATGCCTAGATGAACTGCATTAACGGATCACGCATATCAATCACGATCTCAATCT